GCAAGGCCTGGATTTGAGAGGGTCCGGGATTTGGGGGTGTTTGGGGAGCTTGGGGTGTAGGGTTTTGGGGTTTAGGGTTTAGGGGTTTAGGGTTTAGGGGTTCTTTGAAGCGTCTAGAAGGGTTGAAGAAGGGGTTCGCGAAGGTTTCGTGCCAGGTTCTTTAAGGGTTCTACTTAAAGGAATATGGGACTTGGTGAGTAGGGTTATAAGTAAGGTAACTACACTTATGACCCCAATTGGGGGACGTATAACCTTACTTACTAAGTCCCATGATCCTCCAAGTAAGGTTTCGTGCCAGGTTGTTCAAGGGTTCTAGAAGGGTTCTACAACGGTTATGAGGTTTAGCAAGGCCTGGATTTGAGAGGGTCCGGGATTTAGGATTTAGGGCTCAGGATGCTTGGTTTCGGAGTTCGAGGATTAGCTGTTTGGGGAGCTTGGGGTGTAGGGTTTTGGGGTTTAGGGTTTAGGGGTTTTGGGTTTGGGGTTTTGGGGTGGGGTTTAGGGGTTTGGGATTTGGCACGTCATTGCTGCCAAACCCTTCCCAGGTCAGCATGGCAACTGGATGGCAAAACGAAACCGCTTCGCCTGTTTCGCTGAGATTCAGGTTGCTGCTGTGTGGCCCAGTCACCAACGAGACCAAGTGCAGCGTGCAGTGCAAGAGTTCCAAGGTGCAGTGTCTAAGGCTTTCCAAGGGCAAGCTGATCGTAGTGTCAAGTTCGCCGCGCGAGTGCTGGTGGACGGACCATTTGAGGTAGCCACGCGCCTACGGTCATTTTTAGGCAAGCAAGCTGCTCCCGTGGAGGTGGAGTACTTGGCCCCACCAGGCACATGGAAAGTTCCGGACTGTTCGTTCTATGTGACGACACACGGAAACGAGGACGTCATTGTTTTCCATCTCCACATGCCGCTCAAGGGTGGCACGAAGAAGAAAAAATTGGCTTCGATCCAGATCCGCAAGGTGAAAGGCCTCGCCTGTAAATACCGCACTTCCGTTCAGGGCCGTAAGCGTGTGTTTGCTGATTATGCCACAAATTGGGTCATGACTTTGGGCCCTTTGTTTAGGTCCCTGTATTACATAGGCTCTGGGTTTAAGGTTTGGGGTTTAGGGCCCTTTATTACATAGGCTATTAGGGTTTAGGGTTTATAGGGTTCAGGGCCCTTTATTACATATGCTCTTAGGGTTTGGGGCTTAGGTCCCTTTATTACATAGGCTCTTAGGGTTTAGGGTTTAGGGTCCTTTATTACATAGACTCTTAGGCTTTGGAGTTTAGGGTTTAGGTCCCTTTATCTTGCATAGACTTTTAGTGTTTAGGGTTTAGGCCCCTTTGTTCCATAGACTCTTAGGGTTTAGGGTCTAGGGGTTGGGTTTCAGGGCTTAAGTAGGTCTCTTTATTTCTAGAAGACGCCATGGTCATCCGCAGGACATGCCTTCGGATTCGGCAGAGCCTGGCCCTTATGAGAGGGTCCCTTCTGCGAACTCCTAGAAGGTCCGCTGTCCGGGTCTACTTTAGGGGCCTTGATGATTACCTCATTCTACTATTTTGGGGGCTCCTTGTTTATACTTATGGTATAATATACCCCGCGTCTAGGCTTCGTTTCAGGTTTAGGGTTTAGGGTGTTCAAGCCTTAGCATTCGGCTCTGTGTTTGCTAGGGTTTTCACGGGCATTCGAGTCGCGTGCCGGAAGAACTCAGCTTCGAAGTTGGCGGTTCGGAGTATTTAGGGCCTGGGGGATATGGGAGCACTACGGTTGATGATATAAACCCTGCATTGCCCATTGTATGGAATATCCCATAATTCCCATGAAGGTAATGCAGCGTTTATATTATCAACAGTATTACCAAACGTCCAGGCTCCTCCTCTCTTGTCTTGTAGGGTTTAGGGTCGTTCTCATATACATACCCCAAACCCACATGTAGAGACTGTAAACCCTTAATCTCGAAGCAACCCTAAACCCTAAAACCCGAAGCATCGACCCTAAACCCTGAAAAACTCGAAGCATAGGCCCTAAGCCCTCAAAAACTCGAAGCCACCCTAGACCCTAAAACTCGAAGCACAGACCCTAAACCCGAAACCCTCAAAAACTCGAAGCACAGACCCTAAACCCTAAACTCTCAAAAACGCGAAGCATAGACCCTAAACCCTAAACCCTCAAAAACGCGAAGCATAGACCCTAAACCCTAAACCCTCAAAAACTCGAAGCATAGACCCGGAAAGCTCGAGAAGCAATGGCTGGAGCAGTGGCAGCCGCCAAAGATGGAAAGCTCGAGGTTGGGACTACTTGGAGGATCATGGGACTTCATAACTAATTAGGGCTTTAGGGTTTAGGGTTTGGGGTCTACTTGGAGGATCATGGGTATTCATAACTAGGGCTTTAAGTCCTCTGATATGGGTTATAATTGTAGTTACCCTACTTATAACTCCGTTCAAGGTTTCAGGGGTTCTGGGTTTTGTTCAAGGGTTTTGGGACCTATACTTGGAGGATGATGGGACTTAGTAAGTACGGTTATAAGTCATTTACTGGGGGATATAAGTAAGTAGAAGTATAGTTACCTGAGTTATAACCCTACCTACTAAGTCCTTTGATCCTTTAAGTACCAATGCTATGTTTGGGGTTATATTTATCAGTGTAGCATAATAGGTCCCAAAACACTACTGTTCTAATTGTTCAGGCCCCTATATTAAGATAACCCATCAGGGGCGCAACGGAGAGAGACAGAGAGAGAGAGAGCATGTCTTGAAGCAAGGAACCCGAAGGGAGACTATCCCCATGTCTCCTTCTGTGTCCCTAAACCCTAAACCCGAAACCCTAAACTCCTAAACCCTAAACCCTAAACCCCTAAACCCTAGACCCCTAAACCCTAAACCCATGTGTCCCTGGTGTTCCTTAAAAACCTTACTGTAAGGGTTTCGGGCTGTAGTGCTTGGGGCTTTGACCCCCTACCCTCGGCCACTTCCAGCGCCTTCCAACCCATTGCTCTACAAGCTGACGATGCCCTGGGTTTTGGGTCTAGGGTTTAGGGTTTGGGGTTAGGGTTTAGGGTTTAGGGTTTAGGGCTTAGGGTTTAGGGTTTAGGGTTTTAGGGTTTTGGGCCCTGTGAACCCATGAAGCCCAACACTTGACACCCTTTCATCATCACCAGAAAACTCCACCGGGGCAAAAAGTATCCCAAGACCTTAAGCCCCTTAACCCTACTCTGCCCCCCTGATCCCCTACTTGGAAGTTCATGTGTAGTTATAAGTAGGGTTAGAAGTAGGGTATCTACAATTATAACCCATCTTAGGGGACGTATAACCCTGCTTATAACTACTCATGAACCTCGAAGTAGAACCCTTAAAGAACCTGGCACGAAACCTTAGCGAACCCTAAACCCTAAACCCCTTAACTTCAATCTACACCCTAGTCCCCCTAGAGTTTAGAAGCCCTGGAGGTGGCCTTCGTTTGTCTCGGAGGCGAAGGCGGCACCCTGAGTTTGGACCCGACGAGCTCCGGTGATGAGCTGAAGGTGGCCCTTGAGGCAGGGACCCTAAACCCTAAACCCTAAACCCTAAAACCCTAAACCCTAAACCCCAAAACCCTAAACCCGTGTTTTTTTGGGGGGTTCTCAGGGTTTGCTTGGGTTTCATTCCTTAGTTCTCCAATACCCAACCTTTAAACTTGTCGGGCTCTTATAGCTTAGATGGGGAAGTAAGTGAGGGCTTCAAAAGGTTGATAGAGAACCCTAAAGCCTAAACCCTAAACTCTAAACCGTAGAGGCTTCAGGCTGATGTTTAGGGGTCGAGGCGACTTTAGGCTTAGGGTGGTTTAGTTAGGTGCTTCTGGGTCGAGCGGAAGACATAGGGTCTTCAACAATGCCCTGCAGTTGCCTTCGGGTCGACAGGATACTATAGGGGCCTCAATAGGTACCTATATTACTTGGGGGGTTCTTTATTGTAATTATAGTGTAATATACCCCAAAGCCCTAATAATTCTTATTATTAAGGCCCCTACATTAAGCCTGCCACGACCTGACGGCCCTACCTCTCGAGGTTTCCATACGTGGACAAGTCATGGGACTCAGTAACTAGGGTTTCTTAAAACCCTTTTCCCTAAACCCTACACCCTAAACCCTACACCCTATACCCTAAACCCTAAACCCTGGTTCTTTCTTCGGTTCCTCAAAGATCCTTAAAGGGTTTCATGTACGGGATCCCTAGGGGTTTCAGGCTTACTTTAAGGATCCATGGGACTTAGAAGCTAGGGTCATAATAACCACTTAGGGTTTAGGGTTTAGGGCTCATGGGACTTAGAAGCTAGGGTCATAGTAACCCTACTCATTTTGACTTCTATCCCCAATTGCTGATAGCCTTGCTTACGACAAAGTAGGATTCTGGGTATAGGGTCTGAGAAGTGAACCATTTAGAAGCGTCCTAAGTGCCGTGCTGATAAACAACAGGGTTCCTAAACCCTCAGCCCTAAACCCTAAACCCTAAACCGTACTTTCAAACGGTCATTACCGCAAGCATCGTTTCATGTCTACACCAGGCGTCCCTTCTCGGCTTCAAAGATTCGAGCTTCAGGGCTGAACCCTAAAACCCCAGAGCCCTAATCCCCGGAAGCCCTAAACCCCTAAAGCCCTAAACCCTCAGAACAGATACTCGCTTTACCTATAATACGGAAAAAAAGCTGAGAAATACATCATCATCATTCATGTAAGAGAGCGGTATTCCTTGTATTTCAGAGAAAGATTGAAACTTAACCCCCTTACACCCCTAAAGCCCTAAGCCCCTAAAGCCCTGAAGCCCTAAACCCCTGTACATCACCGTCTCGGAAGCACCTTTTCTGCGCGGCGCGGAGGTTTAGCGGCTTCCTTGACGGATGAAACTCGGTTCTATCGGTGTCACAACTACGAAATCATGAATAAACAGTTTTTGTCAGAGTATATACATGTGTATATATATATATATATATCATATACGTATATATATATATATACACGCATATATGTGTATTTATATGTCTATCTGTATATGTAGGTAGAGAAGGTTTTGAATGTTGGGGCTTCCACCGATGTGACCTTATAGATCGTAAGAAGATCTTCCCTAAACCCCAAACCCCTACACCATAAATTGTACCCCAAACCCTAAACCCCTGAACCCCTAAACCCCAAACCCTAATCCCCTAAACCCCAAACCCTAAACTCCTAAACCCCAAACCCTAAACCCCTAAACCCCAAACCCTAAACTCCGAAACCCCTAGACCCCAAACCCTAAACCCCAAACCCCAAACCCTAAACCCTAAACGCCTAGACCCCTGGACCCCAAACCCCTAGACCGCTGGACCCCAAACCCTAAACCCAAAACCCCTAGACCCCAAACCCTAAACCCAAAACCCCTAGACCCCTAGACCCCAAACCCTAAACCCAACGCCCCAAACCCTAA